AATAGCATAGGGTTTAGACGTACCAAGTCCAACCCATGCATATATGTCAGACAATCACAGAATGAAACGGAGATTATCACCATGTGGGTAGATGATCTACTGTTATTCGCAAGCAATACGGACTTAATGAACCAACTTAAAACTCAACTTAAGGGTATCCCTGATGTTACAGACCTAGGAGAGCCAAAGAAGATAGTAGGAATCGAGATAACTAGAGACCGATCAAATAAATCGATCTGAATCTCACAGACCAAGTATATTGAGTCTATCCTACAAAAATATGGCCTCCAAGGATCTAATCCAGTAGGAATGCCGTTAGATCCCAAAATTGTACTCAAAAAAGAAGAGACTGACCAAGAGGGGAACCGTAACAATAATTATGCATCCTTGATTGGATCTCTGATGTACTTGGCAGTAGCAATGAGACCAGACATAGCATACACTATCCAGAGGCTAAGCTCTTTTACTTTGAATCCGGGGTTAGCACACTGGACAGCAGCAAAACGAGTACTAAGATACTTGTCTGGTACACAGAGCCTTGGGATCAAATATTAAGGCACCACTATAGATAAAGAAGTCCAGATCAAAGGTTGGTCAGACACAGACTATGCCAATGATCCGAGGGATTGGATATCAATATCAGGCTATGTCTTTAAATTAGGAAAGGGAGCAATTACCTGGAGTTCGAAAAAGCAAAATGCAGTTTCATTGTCCTCAACAGAGGCTGAGTACACTGCAATGGCACATGCAGCGCGTGAAGCCATTTGGCTTCATAACCTATTCCAGGAATTAAGCTTAAAAAAATAAACCCTACTACCTTATATGGAGACAACATGGCAGCATTGACAATCATGCGAGACCCACAATACCATGCAAAGTCAAAACATTTTGATGTGAAAAGTCACTATGTGAGGGAGAAAATTCATGAGCATAGGATTCATGAAGTGTATTGCCCTACCAGAGATATGATAGCTGACATACTGACAAAACCGCTACCAAAGCCAGACCATGAAAGACTTGTACAAAGTCTTGGAATGTCCCTTGATTGAGGGGGAGTGTTGTTGCATGAGGTAATAGTTAGCAATCAACTGACATACCTGCAAAGTGGTCTGTGCACTGATAAGTAGTGGAGTTGCGGACTATCTGAGATACAAAGATATATGTAGTATAAATAGGTACAATAGAGAAATCTGAAAGTACAAGTGAAACAATCCTCCTATTGCTATCTATAAGCATCGTCTTGAACCTCTTGCTCATATCGCTTGTTTACATGAGGCTGCAAAGGTTGATAAGGTGCACTGGCAGGCACACTGTAAATACTGTGTCAAGGTGCAGGCCAAGGAGCTCGAGAATGCTGATCAGCTGGCTGTTGCATATGGAATATTGCAGGCCGTCAGATCTTCCATGATTTTGATGCAGGAAGGTGAGTTTCACCAATTGGCATGTTACATATATGCATGTACATTGTATATTAATAACCTACTCAAACAGCATGCAAAAATGTCCCTCATATTGCCAGCAAGGTAGAAATAATGGCAAACCATCTGTTAAGTTGTCAATACATCCCCAGCAATATCAAGAGCAATGCTGAAACACTCAAACATGGAAGAAAGCAGCAGGCTGATGATGATGACAAGGGACAATCATCAGAATTTGGTAACCCAGAAACAGTCACTGACCGTGATCCCACTGGTAGCCATATGGAAGATCAAGAGCTTGTCATGAATGCTGACATTGACACTCTGCTTATGGACAAGTCTGAGTCTGAGTTGGATGATGGTGATGGGCCAGAGAATGGATCCACAAGCAACGTCCCTCCACCATCCTCATTTTTGGCTGTTGCACTGCAGTTGTGGAAAGATGTTGATGACAACAACAATGATGATTATACTTCAGGGCTAGGAGAAGTGGTTGAGGTTGAAGAGGACATCCCTGAAGGTGGCAGGCCATGTCAAATTTGCTGCTTCTTTGGTCAGTGTCATATACCTGATCTGACCGCTCTAATATCAATATCCGCTCCGCTTTCCGATCACCTCCGCTCCATCCATCCTCCGCTCTGTCCAATCATCATCTGCATCTGCTCCTACGTTTCTGCTCAACCACTCAACCGGTCCCCTTCCATAACATCTCCATTCAACTGAACCTCTTTCCCCTTTTAGATATATACTTTCCCCTTCAGTACATAGACCCTTACTTCCGGATCACCGGTAATTCCTATTACCACTCAATCACTGATCCGACACGTACATATTGATATCCGCTCCGACTCATGTCTTCACCTGTGTAAGTACTTACAAATGATATCCTTGGTACATAGCTTTACAACATAGTTATCCTGGTCACTGCCTCATACATAGAAGTATATAACATATCATGTACTTAGATATTTTCCTCAGTCTTAATATTACTTGTCTTCTCGCAGTTAACTCTTGTGAGAATTCTCAGTAGGACCTTGCCTCCTCTGGACACAAGTCTCAACTTGTTGTCACCTCCGACCCTCTGACCCTCCACCTCAACTTAGAGCTGTGCTCTAAGTGTCCTTCTTATTTCTCCATCCCTATCAATATTTTCCTTGCCCCTTTTCCCATCCTCTGCATTATCCTCTGCCTTCCCCGCTCCTACATTCCCCCTGCTCCTATCCACCCTCCACATCACTCCCTGCCTTCTCCGCTCCACTCCTAGTCAGCCTGCTGCTAGTAGCTCTTACTTCCCAATCCTCAAAGCGGACCTAAGTGGTTCACTCGTCCTATCATCGGACAACGTTGGACCCACTCCAAATTCGGGGCATGTACTCGGCTAAGGGCGCAGTGCAAGAGCTGAAGCTAAGCCCCAACCCCTCTGCCTCCTGAGCCGGCACGGTACCTAACATGCTCACCAGTTTGGCACATATCATTGAGGTTTGTTACTGATGATACGAAGAAGTCCTTTGACTTTACTGGTAAGCTGCAGAAGCTGAATGAATCTGGTGGGTCTGATAGGCTTAGCTTCATTGAACAGCTTGAGAACGCATTCTGCACACCTGCCAAGATTGATCTGTGGTATGACTTTGACCTGCAACTTAGTGTCCCACCTGTGCTTCCTGGAATGGATAGCTTTGCCACAACGAATGATGGGGACGAAGACTTCCAGGGTTATCTACAAGTCAGACAATTCTATCACTTCGGGAATGACACAAGTAAGCCCCCCAGTTCATCATTTCATACATCTTTCTCATCTTGTTTCAGCCTGAGGGGGTCACATTCAGACACCCAGGTGCACATGTTTGGGCTAGGAATGCTTACATTATCAATCTGCCGCAGTTTGAAGAGATCCACCAACTTTTGGCACCACCTCAGTCTGGCACTGGCAGTATTCGCCTCCCTCTCCTTCTCCCTTTTCCTCTCCCTCTCCTCCTCCCTTCTCCTCTCCCTCTCCCTCTCCCTCTCCCTTTTCCTCTCCCTCTCCTTCTCCCTTTCCTCCTCCTTCTCCCTTGCCCTCTCCCTTGCCCTCTCCCTCCCTCTCTCTTTCTCCCTCTTCCTTGCTGCAACTGTCTTTTGTGCATGATAAGTACACTGATCATGCACAAAGTCAGCATACACACACAATTGGACACCAGAACAATTGACGTACAACTTGCTGCGGTGCCATCTTGTCAGGCAAGTACTTCAATTATCTTTCAATGTGTTTATCGCAATGTCTAGAACAATGGATTGACGAGATCAATACTTAGTTTACATTTTTAGCAACATAGTAGTATTATTAGTATAACTATTATTAACTATGTAATTCTAAATTTACCAAGCTGGCACCAAAGTTACTTGGCTTCTGCAGGAACTTAGTGATGATAACACAGAAGATGACAATAACGACATTTCAGCTCCATCTGCAGTGGCATTGTCAATCAACCCACAGAAACCTTGGCTTCAGGACTTCAACTACTATGTGAATACATTTGACCAGCATGCTGAAAAGCAGACAATTGAACAGTGGTGGGGGGTAAGTCATTCTTATACCCTGATTCAATTACTCAACGAAGATACTAAATTTATTTATAGTTAAATGCAACTAGCTATGGGCCAGTCTGGACGGCCATTGCTCAAGACTTTTTAGGAATCATGGCCTCATCAGTCTCAAGTGAGCGGGCATTTTCATTAGCTGCATTAACAATTACAAAGTGCCAGAACCGTCTCAAGGGTGATGTTGTTGAGGCATTACAGGTAATGAAATGCCTTCTCCATCATGACCTGGTCTTCTGCAAGTCAGGACCTTTGTCATTGACTGAAGATCCTGCAGATGAGGATGATGAGCTACTTGATGGGTGTACAGAGAACTCAGGTGAAGATAGTATGGTATGACTGGGATTAAAATAGAGTAGAATGATGTTGCAAGTCTGTGTTTCATTGTTGCACAGTGCTATCCAATGAGCACTCACCAATGTTAGTAGGACATGTTCAGTTATTTTATATTTTCAGGCCCAGGCTTCAGCCCAAGCTCAGCCCAGCCCAAGCCCAATGTCAGGACTGGGCCAAAATATTAGGAAGCCCATACCCACTCAAGCCCAGGCCCAAGCCTGGCCCACACAACACTAGATGAGTGTTAGATAGGCACAAATAGATGTGGACAAATACAGTTGGAAGTGGGACATTGGTGGATAAATCTAGGAATGGTAGGATAGTCATGGAATATCATCTAGTTTTGTCAATATTCTGTTCATGAAGTTTGATATTCCAACTTATTTTTTGGAATGGCATAGTGTTGAACATGAGCACTAAGCACTTAGGGTTTTATTTTATTTTATTTCCTTGTTGACCCAAATCACATGTGTACTGTCAACCTTTAGCTTTACGCACAAAGCTGTAATTTATCAAATACACAAACTTAGCAACTACATAATAACCAATAGCTTGCCAATAGTGGTGTTCAAAGTAACTTTCAGAAAGTTTGCTAAGCTCGGTAAATCTTGGTAAATCTTGGTAAAACATGGCCAAGAAAAGTATTGAAACCTTCTGTGAATGACGATCATGCACGGCTCACTCAGCATGCACAGCTCACTCAGCATGCACGTCGGGGTTCGAAAAACATGCCTGCCCTACAACCACGACCTCATTGGTCTGCATGTCTGCAGACCCTCTCTTACCCTCAACGAACCATGGAACCTCCCCCAGTACCCACTACTCGCGGAAAGAGCAAGACCAAATGAGGTGGAAGAGGCGGAAGAGGCGGAAGAGGCGGAAGAGGCAGCAAAGCTCAAGCTGCCACTCAGCCTGATGTGGCTATCGCAGACTACGATGGGCCAAGGGTTCAGGTCAACTGGCAACAAAGAGCCTTTTCATACCGATATGCTTGTTCGATGGCTTGTTCAGCATCCTGCAGATTCTACTGTACTATTCAACGGTAAACACAATGTAGACCATGGCACCCCCTTGGGCAAGGACAAAAATGAGATTCAAGGTCTCATCGCTCATTTTATCTTCATGCATGACCATAAATATGGGAGCTTATATGCTTCAATTCCGGATAAATTTCATGACTCAGTAGCATACCGCATTTCCGCATAAGTTGTCCTCTCCCTGTTCCAAAATTTATATGCTGATCATATCACTTCAAGTCTCAAGAAGGTCTGGCATCCCCTCTGTGATAAATTACACAGAACTGGTGCTGGTGTTGTTCCCCTCGACGCTAATGCTGCCTGCAAATTTGAAGGGTGCGTATGTCGCATAAATTTATTTAATTGTACTGATAATATTACAGAGGAGATTGACTGTGATTGTCCTTGGTTCAATGATCTTCGAGCAATCTGGGGGTCCAACCCATCATTCGCAGCACCAACAATCTCTTCACAGCCCAGGGTGGATCATGCTGCCCATTTCTTCTCACTTGTAAGCACAGCAGACACCGGTAATGCCTCATCACAGGTCCACAGTACTCCTCCTCCTTCCAGCACCCTCATGGGCAAGCCCTGCTCCCCCCCACACTCAGGGGGGGAGAATAGCTGATCACCCCCAACAATCTGGCTATTCCCCATCCTCTGCTGGTCCTTCAGCGAGCAGTAGCACTGGTGCCCTCCCACAATTGGGCTATCTGCCCCCCTCCTCTGGCGCCTTTGCAGCGGTAGCTTGCAATCTGGCTATCCGCACCCCTCCTCTGGTGCCTTTTCGGGGCAGCGGTGCTTCCCTGCAATATCACTATAGCCATCCTGTAGATGGCAGCAGCGCTAGCCCACAATTTGGCGGTCCCCCCCCTCCCAGCCCTTTTTCAGGCAGCCCAACTAGTTCATGCCCCCCTCCTTTAACCCTCATGGTGATGGCAGTGCCGCTTCCTCCCCACAGTTCAACTATGGCACACCCGCTCCCCCCAGCACTCAGGCCTCCCCACAGTTTGACTATGGCGCCCCCCCTCCCCCAGCACTCAGTTCCTCCCAACAGTTCAGCCGCACTCACCTTCCCCCTCGCAAATCATACCCCTCTCTCACATCCCCCTCTGGGCACGGCACCTCAGGCTGAAGATGATTTTGATATTGCTCTTTTTACCATGGATGGGATGGATGAATATGATGATCGTGACACAAATGCTGTGAGCCTCGACAGCCCACCCAGGGCCAGCATCATGAACAAGTGACAGCTTCCTTCATCTCCATTGCCTCCCCCCACTCACCCCACCCGCAGTTCCACAGATGCCCCACACCTCCACATACAACAACTGCAGTGTGTTCCTGTCCAAAACTGGCAGCGTCCGCACGAGCACCAAACCTTCATCGACTGCATCATCATACTCTTCAGCACACACTTGCTCCAGCATGCTCCCTTCCCAGTCGTCTTCGACTCCAGAGACATCAGTGTCGAAAGGGAAATGCAAGGCGACCAACAAGAAGTGGATCCTGTTCTGACATTCACAAGCAAGTTGAGATGTTGAATGACGAGGTTGAGAGCATCACCTCAGGTAAGACATCAGAGAGCGCATCAAGGGAGCCGTTGGCGAAGACACGGTACGAGTTGAAGAATGACCCACCATGGCGAAGCTGGATATTTACTGTGAGGACAAAGAGCATGAATTTATACGCGAGCTGCATCATCTGTGCAGATGCAAAAGTTGACCATCAGCATGAACAAGAGGTGAAAACCATGGAGATTGCCTTCACGATGCTGAGTCTAGGGCTTGGGATTCGGAGGCGGCGGCATTGTCTCAGGATCGAGTACAAGAAACTCATGCTGGATGAGCAGACCAAAGGTAGTAATGCTGCATCTTGAGGGGGCTGCTCCACTGGGCTGTTTGTTCATTTGTGCTACTATCCCACTACATATGTTTTGTATGCCTTGATATGTTTCATGTACCCTACATATGCTACCTATGAATACAATGATATGATTGCTAGCCTTATGTATGTTGTACATTAGAATGAGGGCTATTGAAAAGTTGATCCATCAAACATGCTCTACAAGCCTGACCTGGTGTCCCTTCATAAGACCTATCACCCACTACTTCATCACCATCTGGCTCTTCAACCTCTTGTGGCATATCTCCTGGGCCCTCACTAATGGCCCAATCCATAGTGGTGGAGTTGCATTTCTCTTCAAAGCGAATAATCATGTTATGAAGGATGATGCAGCACTGAACCCAGGCCACAGTAGTCATAAGGTGCTTTTTGTTAGCAATTGGGTGCCGAAGCTCTCGGAGTGATTGAAAACACCCTTTCAAAGCAGCAAAGGCGTGTTCAACACAAACACGGATCTAATAAAATACAAAATCAGTACAGTAAATAAAAGGCAGAAAAATAAGGAGATACCCTAGAAAGGGTGACATTAAAGCTCTTCTGATCACCCATCAACCTTCCATTGCGTGGTTTCTTGAAAGGGGGAATACACCACGTCTCCAGTAGATATGCACTGTCAGCCCAAACCCAGTGATCATCTGAGAGAAGAGTTGCATGCTCGTGATAAATATGAGTGGACTGGAAGGCATATGCATCATGCACACTTCCAGGGTGGCCAAGGGAATAGTCAACTATGAGAAGGTTGTGAGGCATGATAACTGCCTATAATTTATTTAATTTTTTACCATAGAAAAAAAGAGAAAAACTTACTTGGCAGTTGAGGGAATAGCGAGATTTTCGGTCATAAAAACTCTCACCAGAGAGACCAGGTTTAGCATAAATTACAACCGTAGAACCATCAATTGCTAGAATACCATTCCGCCATTCAGGACAGGACCTGACCACAGCATATTGCCAAGCTTTCTCAGCATCCTCTGAATCAAGAGCAGGGAAAGATATGAATGTGTCATGCTGGTCAAGGAGAGCGACCATAACACGATTGGTGCAGTTAATGACAGAGCCAACACTGACACCTGCCCATTGGCCAACATCTTCTGGGGATATTGCATTGCCATAGTGGCCAGCGCGGTTGAGAAAGATAGCAAGTTGGATAGCAACAGGGAGCTGGGGGTT